TACCTGTCTTCTGCCATATTCTCACCAACATATGTTATCAGAATTTTTATCCTTGCCAATCTGATAAGGAAAAAAAGAGTATTTCATTATAGTTGTAGTCTGCACAACTCTTATCATCAATGAGGTTGTGTATCTTTTCACATGTTTAAGAGGCATTTAGATTTGCTTTTCTCTGAGTTTTTGTTCATTTCTTTGCCCATTTCTCTTAATGTGTTGTTGATCTTTTTCTTGTTGGTTTGTGCAAGTCTTCTATAGGTAGGGAAATTAGCCTTTTGGCTGTAATATGATTTGTAAGTATTTTGACCCTAGTTTGTCATTTGTGTTTTAACTCTGCTGATTTTTGACAAGAAGGAATTTTAAATGTTCATGTAGTTAATTTTATTGGGCTTTTTGTTAGTTTGTTAATTTATAGCTTTCAGATTTTGCATCATAGTCAGAAAAGTCTTTCCAGCTCAAAGATTATAAAAAGATTCTTTTATATTTTCTCTGAATACTATTAAAGCCAATATGATTAAATACTAAAAATATTCTTTCTCCTTTTAAAAAGTATAAGATTCCCATTTCTAGTTTTTTTTTTTTTTAATTTATTTATTTCCCCCAAAGCCCCAGGAGATAGTTGTATGTCACAGCTGCACATCCTTCCAGTTGCTGCACGTGGGACGTGGCCTCAGCACGGCCGAAGAAGCGGTGCATCAGTGCGCTCCCAGGATCCGAACCCGGGCCGCCAGCAGCGGAGTGCGCACACTTAACCGCTAAGCCACGGGGCCAGCCCCCATTTCTAGTTTTTTGACATCTGTGTGGTTCTCCTAATTGTACAGGTATCTCTAAGAGCAGCTCAGCTCTCTGAGTACCTTGAGATATAATTTATCTAATCCAAGGATTTGAACTCCTTTTGGTTAACTGATTTCTTTTTTTTTTTTTTTTTTTTTGTGAGGAGATCAGCCCTGTGCTAACAACTGCCACTCCTCCTCTTTTTTTGCTGAGGAAGACTGGCCCTGGGCTAACATCCGTGCCCATCTTTCTCCACTTTATATGGGACGCCGCTACAGCATGGCTTGCCAAGCAGTGCGTCGCTGTGCGCCAGGGATCCGAACCGGCGAACCCCGGGCCGTCGCAGTGGAGCGCACGCACTTAACCGCTTGCGCCACCGGGCTGGCCCCTAGGTTAACTGATTTCTAACAAGTTCTTTACTCATTAGAGAATTCAATTCTATCTCATCCTTTTTGATATAATGTATGCAGAAGCAAAATAAAAATTTTCTCCATTCCTTCTCTTATTTCTACTTTTTGCTCAAATTCTTATTTGTTTTTGACTATTTGTGGACTTCTCTTGATCTTTCTTGTTCTAAAGTCTCTAGAATAAAAGAAGAGGATGACTCTTGACCACGCTCAAACCTATTTCCCCTTTACTTAGCTTTCTCAAGAAATAGTTGATGAGCAATTACTACATGCTTAGCCATGTTCTAAGAAGATAGAAAAAAAATTTATCGTATTTTGATTCTTCCTTTTAAGAGAGAAAGGCAATACACATAATAATAATACTATTGTTATTACTAGATAATAGTATTTGTCACTTTAGATTTGTCACAACTGTTGTTTAAAATTTTTTTTTGTTTGCAAACATGGTTGGACTGTGCTTGGGTAAAATACCCAGAAGTTGTGAAGAACTTTTTCTTCTCTGCAGTTCATTTTTCTGAGGTGCTGTGGTGAATAGGATTCTCAGAAGTGGACATAGAAGAAGGCTAGGCCATATTTGTATCAGCTCCAAATGTTCTACAAAGCCAGTCATGGCATGTTCTTCCAACCACTTGTGGCAGGTGAAATATGTTTTTATTGAGTTATGAGAACTTGCTAATAATGCTTTTTCTTAAAGGAAACAAGAACCATTTATTCAAATAGCATATGATTCGTCTGTCCCTCTGGTCAGTTTTCAGTGTTTCTTTTGGCTTGTTTTGGTTTGATTCGTTAAATTCAAGTTGATAACTGCCTCTTAAAGCTACTAAATAAATTCTAACTTTTAAGTGAATAGAGGTCCCAATTTCTTTCACAATATCTTAGAACTTAAAAAGCTACATATTAACAAATATGAATCTGCATTTGCTTCCTTGGGAAAATTAAAATTGATCTTGATTGAACTCAACTATATTTCAGAAATTGGTGTTCCATATTAATATAATTACAGCTGCAGTTTTACTAAAAAACTTTTTCTTCCTCTGAGAATTTCTGTATTGTGTAGTGCGAGTCTTTCCTACCATAGAACCAATCTGTGCAGTTGATGTGAAAAGACCTTCATGTATCTTTGTTTGTTTTTGTAACATAATTCTGTCCTCCTACTTGACTTCATCTTTCTCTTTTGCCATTAGTCTTTCCATATTGCCCACTGTCCTCACCCAATTTGGGAGAAATAAAGTGGATGAACATAGAAAGGAAGGGATATATCAGAGTTTTCAAGTCAGTGATCTTTTCTGTTCCTTTACTTGTCCCAAAGTCTTGAATCAAACCAAAATCTCCCAGTGTCTAAAGTGTTGTTACCATATGCAAATCATGTAACATAGGATATTATAGAAAATATAATGACATAGTACCTGAAAATTATAAGCCAGTCATTATCTGTTCCCTGGAGAAACAGGTGGTCTTTATAGCTCTTACTTAGAGCAAAGGAGTGAAGGTTGTAGGGGTGGATGGTCTTCTGAACCATAGGAGTATAAAATAACTATGGGGATAGATATGGTGGAAAAGAGTTAGCTTAACACGTCTGGACTGGAAGAGCCCTGCTAAGAAGCAACAATTCAACTAGCCGTCAATGAGAGCATATCTCACACATTTGAATGAGTGAGAATAATGCATCATATATTAGATTGAATAATTTATAGTGATAAAGTCGAATAAGCTTTAGTAGGTAAGAGCTCAGGCCTTGATATTAGGCTACCTGACTCTGCAAATTACTTGATTTCATTTTGCATCAGTGTCTATGTCTATAAGGTGAGGATGATAATAACATACCTACCTTTGCTGAATACTCATCCACACACACTCACACTGCACTGAAAATATAGTTCCTGGCACAAAAAAAAGCCCTTAATAAATGTTAAGATTCTTTCCTTCCTTTTTTTTCTTAAACTTTCTTATACTACCATAAGGGTATTAGAGTATTACTTGCTAACGATGCTAAATTAGATATTTGTTAACAGCAAATTTGTATTAAAACAATTAGCAATTCTAGCTTGTTTTGTGAGAGTTAACTAATTATGTACATTATTTTAGTTTTTTTCCCAGTGTTAATAATCATTCCATGATATATGTTGAGTGTCCTCATCATCCTAACCTTATCAGGCATGTATTATACTTTCAGAAAATTACAAATTTACCTATTCTCATTCTTTATGGCATTTTCTAGTCTTCTTAATTTTCTTCATATCTAAATCTGATAGAAACTCTTTCTCTGTTTAAATTACATTTGGTCTTTGACATTTTTCTTTGCTTAATAACAGTTATAATTTCTTCTTTATCAATTTATTTCATGACTTAAAATTTTTTCTTCTGAGGTGTTTCTTAAAAATGTTGCTTAATATGTGGCCCCATTTTCCACTTATAAACTTATTTCACTCTTGTGAATCACCTAGAAAAAACACAATTAAATGAAAAAATTGCATTTTTAAAATTAGAATATGTGTTTGGACTCTGAAGGATCCACTCGATATGGTAGAAATAGCATCTAAAGCATATAGGTATCAGAGAAAGTTTAGTTGATACTATTGCCACTTGAAATTTGGATTTTTCTTCAGCACTTACAGAAGTGAATCTTAAAATATTAAGTATAAGATTTCTCATCTTACATTGTTTCATTTATAAATTTAATCTTAATAATTATGCTTTGCCTGTCTTCAAACCCAGACAGCAACCATCTGTCAGAAAAACAAAGACACGTAAAAGGTGGAGCCTGCCTAGTGTTCCTTCTCAGTTTGAATTTAAAACACTGCTTTACTCCTACTATTAAAGGATAATTAGGACTACTTATTTCCTGTGACAGTATGATTCATGGTCCACTTCCCGTGGAAAAGATTGTGAGATTTAAAAAAAAAAAGCTTAAGATGCAGAGACATTAGGGGAATGATCATGCAGTCGTTCAAGGTCCAGTGCAAGAGCCACTTTCCCTGAATTGACTTCTTTTTTGTGCTTATTTTCAAAACTGGAAAATGGCAGCTTTAGGATTCTAGGGTTCCCCAAATGATTTTTATTATTTTTTAAATGGTATCCATATAATGATTATGTTCCTCTTCTTTATTTTTATTCTTAATCATTTATTTTAATAAATCATAAACAGTATCATCTAGAGTTTGAGCCTACATTAGAAACTCATTAGAAAATTCTGTTGGGTAGGAAATATAATACATTTTTTACGTTGTCATCTGGCCTTTTCAGTTTTTTTCATGGTTTAATTATAAAAATGAGTTTTCTGCGGACTGACCCTGTGGCTTAGCGGTTAAGTGTGCGCACTCCGCTACTGGCGGCCCGGGTTCGGATCCCGGGCGCGCACCGACGCACTGCTTCTCCGGCCATGCTGAGGCTGCATCCCACATACAGCAACTAGAAGGATGTACAACTATAACATACAACTATCTACTGGGGCTCTGGGGGGAAAAAAAGGAGGAGGATTGGCAACAGATGTTAGCTCAGAGCCAGTCTTCCTCAGCAAAAAGAGGAGGATTAGCACAGATGTTAGCTCAGGGCAGATCTTCCTCACAAAAAAAAAAAAAAAAATGAGTTTTCCGTGACTTTTAGGATAGGAATAGGGGCCAAGATTTATTATAGTGCATGACAGCATTTACTGTAAAATCCATATATTGCCTCTGATTGAAATATTAAATTTAGTTTCAAGGACTCAAACCTTTAAGTAATATCTTTTAAAACTTCTTTATGAAAAAGAAACAAATCAAGGAGAAAACCACAGTCTGGAGCAAAACACTGTGTTATTACTTTAGTATACTGTTGTCTTTTCAGGCTCATGAGAGGCTAGAAGATTCAAAACTAGAAGCTGTGAGTGACAATAACTTGGAATTAGTCAATGAGATTCTTGAAGATATCACTCCTCTAATAAATGTGGATGAAAATGTGGCAGAACTGGTTGGTATACTCAAAGAACCCCACTTCCAGGTAAACTGTCCCTGTCACTCTTCTCTGAAATTCCCTGTATTCCCAAAGTATTCTCCGTTAGTCAAGTTACAGTTTAAAGTGATTTTTTTAAGATTATGTAGGGCCATATTTTGTAAATATGTAAATTCTAACTTAGGTATTTGAATATCCTGATATACTGAGAATATATAAACAGACACACATGACTAATACACACTACATAAATGTATAGTGTCTGTCACAGATATGCAGCAGAATGGATTTTCCTTTGTGTAATTTCACCATCAGACCACATGCTAGAGACGGTTTCTTCCTGTGTTAGTGGAATTTTCTTCCTCACTACCACTGTTTCCCAGGCCTCCTTGTGACCAGTCTTACACATTTTCAGTATTGCTTCTAAGACTGGGGTGCAGTCGATGACCTTGGAACAAAGGAAAGCTGTGTGAGGATAGAAACTGGTACATGACATACTTTCCATAGGTACAAAAAGTAAGTGCAATTTAAGCATTGGTCTATATCAGTGCAGAGTTAATGAGTTTAACAAAGAAGAATCAGTTTCAGGAGAGAAAGTGGTGGGGGAGATTGCTTACAGACCTGTAATTAAGGCAGTGTGGTACTGGGCATTTTTTTTTTTTTTTTTTACCAATTTTCAAAGTAATTGTTTAAAATAGCAAACTCAAATGATAACAAATGAGTTTTTTCAGTCCTTCTGTTTTTTAAATAGCATTGTAGATTATGAATTTTTCATTAATTCAGTATGTGTCAATCCTTTACAATCCTTAAGCTTTTTTTGGTTTTCAAATTATCATGACTTTGGCCAGTTGTGGGCAGATTTTTAGTATATGAATCTGAAGCTCATGAGAGTATTGAACCAAAGATATAAAATTGGGAGTTATCAATGTATAAGTAGTGGTTCAAGACACGGGAGTGGATAAATCTGCCTAAGAAGAGAGTACTATATAGGATGAAAACTAGGCAGCCCGGGTTAGAGATTTGAGTGACTTCTAGCATTTATACGAATAATCTTTACATATGAATTTGTGAATTTTTTTTCTTTTTGGAGTTTTTCTTCAGTCTCATACACGTGTTTTCATGAAATGACCAGAAATTACCAATTAAGCCCATATGCTGATTGTTTCTATTCTGAACCTAGTGACATTTGCTCCCTTCTTCCTATTTTGATTTATTGTTCTTGTTTTTGTTTTTGCTGAGGAAGATTTGCCCTGAGCTAACATCCACTGTCAATCTCCCTCTTTTTGTATGTGAGCTACGACCACAGCATGGCCACTACCAGATGAGTGGTATAGGTCTGCGCCCAGGAATCGAACCCGGGCTGCTGAAGCAGAGTGCACCAAACTTAACCACTAGGCTACCAGGGCTGGCCCAATGATTTATTGTTTTTGAACTTGCATTCCATCCACTCAAAAAAAATTTTTTTAACTTAGCTTTATGTTGGGTATATGCAATTATAGTATAAACAAAAAATAAAAATAAATATACAAAAAAAATTGTAAGAAATTCCTAGAAAGCTGGATCAAAGTCATCCATGATGATAGCACATATATAGTAAATGTGGAAGGTAAAAGTATATTATATTCAGGATCATTACTGGTTCATTGTTTTTTTCCCCCCCAAAATTTATCTTTTATAGACTAAAACCTTTATTTGTAGTATAAAATTTCCTATCACTGATATAAGATGCTGACATTTATTCATTTTCTGTTGGACGTCTTTTTAACAGACAAGTTTTGTACATGTAAAAAATACATGTTGCTAACATAACAGCTTTAGGGTAAAAATTAGGGTCCCTGCCATTTGAGTTTGTATGATAACTAATAAATAGGGAATGATGATAAATATTGAATGATGATGATGGTGATGACAATGGTGGCAATGAAATCCAGTGCCTCCATGGCACCACACTTGGAAATCTAGGTACAGTTTCCATTGAACATCTCACTTAAGAAGTCACAAACTATCAGTCTCTTCAAATTTTTTAAAACAAGGACTATGCTATTGTTTGACAACAAGTAAAACTATATATGCTTATATTTCTTTAAAAGATTCTCTATACATTTGATTTAACTCATACTTGGGAATTTAATAATGTGTGCCTTGGAAATTTTTAGTACTCCACTGGGATAATGAACTAAGTTATTTTTAATAACTTATTCCATCAATAATTAATAACCAAAGGCTATTTTGAATCCTTATAGTCACTCTTGGAGGCCCATGATATAGTGGCATCCAAGTGTTATGATTCACCTCCATCAAGCCCAGAAATGAATAATTCTTCTGTCAATAATCAGTTATTACCAGTTGATGCTATTCGTATTCTTGGTATTCACAAAAGAGCTGGGGAACCATTGGTAAGTAAATAAATCAATACCTTCTTAAATCTGAAATCGGACGTACTTGTGGCTCAGTTACTACTCTATCTCTTTTTTTCTTCTTCATAATTTGTATCATTATGAAAACTTTATTCATATTTGTTTTATCAGTCTTTTTTGGCCTGTGTATAAAATATACAGCTGATGCTCTCTCAACTTGATGTAGCATACAAAATTAAACCAAGCTAAAAAGTTAAACTGAAATAAAGGCCAGAAGAAGTTTTCCAGTGGGTAACAAAAATTTCAGTGATAACTACTTCATTATTTTTTCTACACCCTTTGAAGAAATGAACTTAGGTTGCTTGCTAATGACAATATCAAAACACAAAAGAAAGTTATTATTGAAAATTGAAGACATGGTAGGACTCTCTAAGTAGTGAAGTTTATAATTTACTGCTAAAATTATTATTTCTGGGTCCTGACTATACAACAGTGAAGTGGAAAAAAAGAAAAGCAGGGAACAAGACCATCAGAATGCACAAATACCTTTTCTTACTCCTTTGAGCTTCCTTTTATCCTATGGAATGCAGCCTAATATATGTTTCATTTTTAAGGTTAACCTTACCATGGAAGTTCCTTTTTAAGGGGTGATGTATGTTGTCACAGTTGCACGTGGTTTAATGAGATTGGAATATTGAGACAGGAGAGAACAAAAGAAAAGTAGGAATGATTCACTTACCTACTTTTAGAATTATTTTCTTATATATACATGTTCATGAGGATTTAAGATTTGTTCCTAATAATCTAAAATCAATGATAATTCTGTTCCTTATTTCCTTTAGGGTGTAACATTTAGGGTTGAAAATAATGATCTGGTAATTGCCCGAATCCTTCATGGAGGAATGATAGATCGACAAGGTCTGCTCCATGTGGGAGATATCATTAAAGAAGTCAATGGCCATGAAGTTGGAAACAATCCAAAGGAATTACAAGAATTACTGAAAAATATTAGTGGAAGTGTCACCCTAAAAATTTTACCAAGCTATAGAGATACCATTACTCCTCAACAGGTTAGTAATAAAATTCTTGGCAATATTAAAAATACTTTTATTTCTTTAATCACACTGTTGGCTATAACCACCAGTTGCTACTCTTGTTAAACAAAAGAGGAAAAAATCTGTCTGATATAATCGTTCTGAATTGCCTTATTTTGTCATGGGTGAATTTTTGAACAATTAACATTGTCTACTGTTATAAAGAAATTAGTAGGGAAATCTCTCTGTGAACACCGTGAGCCCTGACATTTCAGTAAGCTACAGCTGGGTATCAGAAAAACCATAAAACCTTTTAGTCATTAATCTAGCAAACATTTTTGATACCTGTTATGTTCCAGGCCCTGTGAGAGAATTAGAATGCAGTCCTGATCACCTCCAGCTTAGTGTTCCTGTGATGGGCTAAGTGGAGAATGAGGCCAGAAAGAGAGGATGGGTCCAGATTGAAAAGAATCTTGAGGGCCAGCCCCGTGGCTTAGCGGTTAAGTGCACGTGCTCCGCTGCTGGCAGCCCGGGTTCGGATCCCGGGCTCGCACCCACGCACTGCTTCTCCGGCCATGCTGAGGCCACGTCCCACATACAGCAACTAGAAGGATGTGCAACGATGACATACAGCTATCTACTGGGGCTTTGGGAGAAAAAAATAAATAAATAAAATTATAAAAAAAAAAAAAAAAAGAATCTTGAACACCTGGTTTGGACACATTTGATCTGTATTTTGTAACTAATTTTTAGGTAAAATGGATTATTGAACAGGAGAATGTTTTAATGACTATCTGGCCTCATTATGTTGAGTGAATTTCAGAAAAAAGAGAGATGAAATTGTGTAACCAGGAAGCAGATTTTTGAAGGTGTGAGGTGATTTTGAAAGACAACTCTAATGAAAGGTTAAGGTGTTGCTTGGGTTCAAATACCGACGCTGTTACTGACTAGCTTATCCTCTGTATGCTTCATTTTCTCATCTATATAGTTAGGGATAATATTTCTTTTCTCAAAAGATTGTTATGAGGATTCAATGAGTTAATTCACGTAAAGCTGTCATAGCAGCACCTGGCACGTACTGAGTGTTCAGCAAGTAGCTGCTGCTGTTGTGATCGTGGTGATGAGGTAGTGGTGTGTGACAGAGCTGTCAAGAAAGAAAAAGTAATAAAGTAAGACAAAGAAAGAATTGACAATTATGATAGGAGTGTTGGAACTGAGGAGAGGGTTTTCAGGCCTAGATAATGTTAATTCTACAATATCTATCAGTGTTTTAGATGCCTCTAATTGTTCAGGTTTATTCCAGAAATTTATTGTTTCATGTGTGAGTGAAATTATAAGTTTTTTACATAAGATACTGCCAGTGATCTTATTTTCCTATTGTTAATGTGAGAATTTAAAAGCCTAGTTTTTAGGTTTCCATACAGTTCTTTGACATGTGTTGTCATGTGTTGAATACCTGTTTTATATTGTTCTTTGGAGGTTAGGATAGAATATTTAGTCATGAATTTAAATATGTAAATTGAACTTATGGAAATATATAGGATTATAATGAACTTCAGTTGAAATGAAGGAAGAGACCTTGTCTTCAAGGAAAGAATCATGAAAGAAGTGGTATTAGAAATTAGGCATTTCATATCACTAGTACCTCTCAGACTACCTTTATTCCTCCATTGACACATTTCCCTTTGGACCTGAGTAGATTGGAAAAGTAAAACCTAAGATTTATTTATATATTAAAATTATGTGTTAGTTATGATAGTCTGGAAGATTTCTTTTTTCCTGTGGTCCAAACTCCAGAATTCTTTTCTGCTCACCATGGCTATAATGGATTTTTACAGGAAAAATAAATTTTCATATTAACAGCCAGGGCTTTGTCCAAATTCCTTCGTGGTTTCAGCACCTGGTGAACTGGTCTGAATGACATGAAATACAAGGACATTTAGCCCTGTCCTAGACATAAATTTTTCCCCGTCTCATGCTTTCTCAAACTCTGGTTTTTATTTAAGCCTTTGGAACTGGGAGAGGGGATTGAAATGGGGAAGGAGATGTCATCCAAGCCTGAGTCAGTCTCGGGCCTATCCTACTGTAAAAAAGAAAAGAGACTATAACGTGGAGGCTTCCAATCGGAGAGCTAAAACATATCCAAACTGGGACATTTTTTAAAGTAAAAGAGGGAACGATTACTAATTATGCTGGAACAATAGGCATAAACAAGGACTGTCCTGAGCAAACAATGGTCATCTTACTAAGAGACACTAGGGGGAAGCAAGGGCATTTAGCCTCTTCAACTCTTTCACTAGAAGCTCCACCGTGTAGTCCTGTTGGACCTGTCTCAACTCTTCCTCTGGATTGCCATGAGAGCAGGTGGAAGCCAGGAGCTCTCCCTGCCAGGGTAGTGTTTTTCAAAGCGTGGTCAGTAGATCATCTTTATCAGTATCATTCGAGATGCTTACTAAAAATCAAAAATCTTTCATGAGACCTAAGGATGTATATTTTAAATTTGAAGACCAGGGTGAGTTAGAAGTTATAGCTAATTCTGAAGTTCTTCAACTTATATGTAGGTTGGGTTCCCAAAGGCTGTTAATAATTCCATTTGTTCATTAAGACCAAACTGATGGGAATTCTCTCTTACTCATTCTTTAAGGCCAGCATGACCCAGGTACCAAAAATATTATAAGAAAAGAAGTTACATTTCCATTTCACTCAAGGATACACATGTAAAAATTCTCAACAAAATATTAGCAAATGAAATTTAATGATGTATTAAAAAGATAATACAACATGTCTAAGTTGGATGTTTCCCATGTATGCTAGGATGGTTTCATATTAAAAATCCATGTATGTAACCAAACACATTAACATATTAAAAGAAAAAACCTCAATAGAGAATTTGATAAAATTTAATGCCTATTCATGATTTTTTTTAAAAGATTAGTAAATTAGGAACAGGAAAAAAACTTCTTAATCTTATTTAAAAAAAAAAAAACTAGAACAAACATAATTCTGAATAGTTGACTGTTAGAAGCATTCTCTTTAAAATCAGTAACTGGACTCTCAGCTGGTCTGCCTGAGACCACTTGAGTGCCAACCCCAGTCCCCTGTGAAGCCCCATTTCTACTCCAACAAGATGAAAGAACCCATCATAAACCAAGAGAAGCTTGCCAAACTTCAGGCGTAATCGTGCATTGGTAAAAAGGGACTACCCTCAGATGATATATAGAGTAACAGATGATTTAACAAATATCTGTTATAACGCATGATAAAAATCTTTAGTTCTCCTTCAAGAAACTAGGCATAAACAGATATTAAAAAGGTAAGTATGTTTGCACACCAGGGAATGGTGATCCGCTTTAATAGCCCTGATGCTCACATATCTCTGGCAGCAAATACTCTCCCCATTACCAGCCGTGCTGAGACAAAGCAGCTGATAGAAGTGCCACCCAGCATCTTAGACCAGCTTGGTGTCAATAAGCTTAAGGACACTGGCAGAAGCTAAATGGAAAAGCACCACTTGCTCTTGTTCAGAATTTTGATGAGTCTTCCAACAGTGAGGCGAATGGAATTGACCCAACTTGTAAAAAAGTAATAAAACTTCAAGACTTTTTACTACTTTAAAAAATTTTGTTTAGAATGTAATGAAATGCAGAAACCTGTAATATTTTAAATTCTGAGGCCCTTGGGCCCTGCTGCTTTTTAAATTCTTATTTACATACAATTATTTGTTCACAGTTAATTAAGCCAAAGAAGCCAGAACATAAAGTTTAAAACAAGGTTTAATACAATCTTTGCCTAGTTAAGCAAAAATGAAGAACTAGAGAAAGATGTTCACTAGCACCACTTATATTTGGTGTTTTATTGAAAGTTCTGTGGGCACAAGAAGACAAAAATAAATTGTAGAAGCAAAAGATTTGGAAAGGAGAAAATAAAACTTATTTTTAAATAATATGATTTTTTGCGTAGAAGTCCCCCCTAATACTATAAATTATTAGAAATAATAGAGTTTAGCAGGATACCTGAAAATAAGATTAACACAGTCATCCCTCCGTGTCTTCGGGGGATTGGTTCCAGGATCTCCAGGACTTTCCCATCCCCCATGGATACCAAAATCTGCAGATATTCAAGTTCCTTATGTAAAATAGTACAGTATTTACATATAACTTATGCACATTGTCCCATGTACTTTAAATCATCTGTTGATTATTTATAGTAACTAATACAATGTAAATGCTGTGTAAATAGCTATTATACTGTATTGTTTAGGGAATAATGACAAGAAAAAGTTTGTACACATTCAGTACAGACACAATCATCGTAGGCCTTTCCATCCACGGCTGGTTGAATCCATGGATGCTGGAACCCATGGGTATGGAGGGCTAACTGTATACAAATAAGTCAGTTGTATTTCCATATGTTATCAGCAAACATCTAGAAATACAACTAAGACAGACATCATTTACAATAGAGTCAGAGAATGTCACATAAATATTCAAAACCTCTATACACACCAAAAAAATATTATGAAGATCTAAATAGAGAGGTAGATCATGTTCATGGACAGGAAGATAATATTGTAAAGAGGTTAGTTTTCCAAACTGACTTGTAGATTCAATGAAATTTCAGTAAAACTTCCAGTAGGGTTTTTCATGGTATTTGATAAGATAAATAGCCAAGACACTTTTGAGGCAGAAAAGCAGGAATAGCAGATTATTATTAATGTGTAGGAATTAAGGTACTGTGGTATTGATATTGGCATAGGAATAGACAGAATGATCAATGACGTAAAGAATTCAGAAAGAGATCTACACACATTACTTTGGTATATGACAGAGATGATATGTCTTTCAGTGAGAAAAGGAGACTATTCAGTGAATGAAATTGCTTATTCTTAGGGATAATATATGAAATTGTGTTGTTGTTTCTTTCTGTATACACAAATCAAGTAAAAGCTGACACACAGTTAGTAAACATATGAAGACATTAAAAATCACAATGTGAGATAACCATTCTATAATGTTCAGTTGGCAAGAATTATAGAT